ATTTTTATTTTTAATAAAATTTATAATTATTGCAATGCAATTATTATAGTATTAGGGTGGTGTAGTGRGGGGCTTCGCTCCCCACGGGTCTGTGTACTATAAATTATTTCAGCACCCCCTAAATTCACACCCTATGTGCGCCTATGTGTAAATATGATATATTATTTAAATTTCAACCATATTTTTCAGGAAATTTTAGACAACAGTAATAAATGCATTACATTACTTACGAGTACATAGATGATCAAGCAATTGGTCACGCGAGGTTCAATGGATACATTATGTGAGAAAGATTAAAAACACTTAAAAACTGAACCATCGGTATGTTTCTAACATAATAATATGTAATATTTAAATACAAGTTAATCACACTGTCATCCATACTATTCAAATTTAAATTTTCCTAATGCCAATCTAATGACAAAATGTCCACGCATAGATGTATAGTTAATAAAAGAAATAACAAAAAAAGGAGACCACGTTAAAATAAGATTTTCTGAAGGGTTTAAGTGTCTGACTCATAAGATAAGTTAGTCGTAAAGGGCGGGACCTGTATCACCCAAAATCGACCTTTCCCGTTTCGACAAAAGGTATTTAATTCATCCTAAAATTTAGTAGTTAATGATCATTAAATAATATAATGTATTATTATTGTTTGCCATTAAAATTATGTTTATATTCATTGCAAAACTTTAAAAAAAAAATCATATTAATTTATATTTACATTATTACAGTTATGACAAATAGTATTGTCTATTAAAACTATTCAAATAAAATACATAACGCAATCTATACTCTATAGTGATTATATGACCATTGGAATTTTTCACATTTTAAAGTGGAAACTTCTTTATAATAGTTAACTATCATTTCATTAATATGTAATTGGAATATTATAGTATGCAATTGTGAGAACTATGGGTCTGATATAATAGTATAGTGTAATAACTAATAACTATTGTGTTTCACCTTCTCGTTGTTTAAAGTAGATAATAATAATCGGACATTTTATTATTACCAAAGTTAATAGGTATGAGTTTGTAAAAAGCATCCGTAGAAATTAAAAAAAAAAATAATAATAATTTGTGTTTCTGACGAATTTTTAAAAACTTTTTATAATATAATATATAATTATGGAGGGGGGGGGAAGGAGTGATCAAGCGTTCTAAGGCGTCGGTTGTGACGCGCACCGTCACCGGTTTGAATCTCGGTCACGAGTGGCACTTCTCTTCGGGCAGTCACAGTGTCTGGAAAGAGAGGCCACCATCCCCCATCCGAGCATGTCGGAAACCTACGGGTGCCCATTAGATATTTTGCCAAACACACAAGTGTTCCAAAAACCTACACCTAAACCACATTAGTACCAATCAACCTACACCTAACGGCCTCAGTTGCTGAAGCTTAAATAAAATATATTTATGTATATTATAAATTATATGTTAATATAATAATTATAATTAATTGTGCTAGAAATTACAGATAAGGAAAAAAATTATGGGATTCATTCAAAAAGATTATCCATTAATTACGCCGGCGATATTGTGCTGGAGTATGAAATATTGATATGATATCGATATTGATATCGTTTTGACATCATTTGTGCATATACATTTTCTAAAGKTACATGTGATAAAATTATCAATAAATTAGTCAAAACAGAATATCCGTCAATAAGGTCCTTTGGCTTTTAATTAGGTCCCTTTTTGCAGAGGCCAATGACGTAGATATTGCAATAGATTTTAAAAAGTTTGTATGTTTTCTTTGAGTTGTATCTGTCGAATAAATATAATATTACCAGGTATTTATTCTTTACAAAATCAGAAATATATCAACACATTGACATAGATATAGAACACATATAATGTAATGAATTTAGGGCTCGGAAGTTTATGACCTTAAAAACAATAAAAAAAATCAAATATGACATAAAATGGCAAAAAATGTATGCCTAATGAAGTTTATGAAAAAAAATTTGCATAGAATAACGTAAAATAATTATTATATATACATATATATTTTGTTTTATATTAAAAGTCGAACTATTTAAACTCATGCTATGTAAATTACAGAAAACAAAAACAGTTTTTATATATTGGCTGCGATACATAAGTAAGTAAATAATACCTATACCTATGTGCGATTTTTTGAAAACAAGTGTTGTAGCGTAATTCCTAAAAATATTGTTGCAAGTCCCTTAACATTGTACAAATACCCGCATTTACAGAATATGATACTATAACGTTTTGGTTTAAAGTCAAGTTTGTGTACATCTAATTAATTWWAAAAAAAAAGAAACAACGAATTTTATAATAGTTAAAATTTCATTTTGACGTGGAAATGGCTAAAACAATAAAAATAATTGTCGTTATTGATTCATTTAAAATGACACACTGAGCGATTAACTACTGGCTAAAACACTTATACTGGTATCAGAAAAATATACCTACGAAAGTTAGACAACTGACGGCATTAATCTCAATAGGCACGCCCTTATAATATCTTGAGAGTAAATCGTGGGAAATATATTTTAAGTTATTTGTGGTTTTTGGAGAAAACAATATATTATTTATCGTATTGTATTGAATCTACATACCCTACACTTGATGGAACAAGAGCGTTGAAATAAAACAAAAAAAACACACAAGTAGCTAGTCTGCACGCATGCAATGTATAAATATAATTTTGATTGTCGTGTYGCTGAATTCAGTCAGTTAATAACAATATCTACTCGATGACATTGCGTGCTCAATGCTCATACGTGTGAAAATTTTGGTGCACTATTTTATTATGATTTACGTTTCTACATAGGCAGTTGGTTAGAATTAAGTATGAGCAGTAAGCCTGACGACATTGGTGGTCTTTGGTGAGAGAGAAAGGGTAAAAAGGGATATAAAAACTGTACAGCATAAAAATTCAGAGAAAGTCGACAGTGGCTTGCGATATCATGTTGAGTGTTAGATGTTACTTATATTACATTATGCCCTTTTTACGTGATAATAATAATTATAGTAGTGATAGCTTGCATACTACAATTCCAATTATTTAAAAGTTTATGAACAGTGAACACAAATTTGAAAGGGTACAGAGCTTCAAATATCTAAGCGTAGAGATTAATAAAAATGTTAATAGCCACGAAAAAAAAAACGACTTCGACTTATGGGAGCACATAGATGCTACTATAGTCTAATTCCACTATTCAAATCAAGATTACTATCAATAAAGTCTAAAATAACATTGTACAAAGTCATAGTTGAACCAATTACTTTATATGCATATGGTGCATGGGCCACTACAAAATTAGACGAAGGAAAGTTAGGAGTGCTCGAAAGAAAGATATTAAGGAAAATCTTCGGTCCAAAGAGAAATAAAGATGGAAAATATGAAACGAGAAACAAAGAGGAATTGGATAATCTCTGTAAGAAATCTACCATTATCGGGTGCCTGAAAAGTACGCGGATAAGTTGAGTTGGACACGTATGGAGATCAAGGGAATGATTGGATCAATAACTAAATGGAAACCCGATACTAAGTTACCTATAGGACGCCCTAGACAAAGGTGGATAGATAGAGTACAAGAAGATCCGGAACTCCTGAACGTAAGGAACGCAGAAGAATGTGCAAAAGATAAAGGGAGATGGAGACAGTATGTTGTTGCAGTGATTGGCTTTAAAGGCCTGTAAAARCCCAAAAGAAGAAGTAGAGATAGCTGGTATATTAGTTTCTAGGTCTGTGTGATTTACTAAAAGTTTACCGGTTAAGTCACTCTAACGAGTATTTAGGATATATTGATATATATATTAACCTAACCTAACATAACCTCTTTTCTTTACCATTTACTAGTAWTATAGGGATATTAATGGAAACTAATCACAAAATATAGACGTTTTATTAAATATTTATCAATGCTGATTGCTGGTTTTTTTACATCAATAAATCGTCACCGTAAAAAAAGGTGTTCCAACAGATATTTAAACTTATCGTTAAGACGATGTAGGCACACTATTTGTTTTATATTTCTGATTATCAAATAGCAAATTTGTGTAAAAAATCAACCTTGTGTTGTCAATATTAGTACTATAGCGAATATAATTAATTAGCCTAATATCAATTTTTTTATTTATATGGAAATAAATAGGGAATTTAGAAGGAAAATTACAGTCATCCTTGAGAAATACTCATAGTCGCTAACTATTGTTGTGTGAAAAAAAGCTTAATGATGATGTGGCTTTATATTCGACGGCATTATTTGGACATGTTTGTATGCGTTTATTTTACTAACCCATCCACCGTTGTAGTGTATCCAAGCGGCCAGATCGTCCTCGATTACTTCGCCGACAGCCTCGATCAGGTCGGGCAGCTGATCGGCACGGCCACGGCGCGCGCAATCAACCGCAAGCCCGGCGGCCACGCACACTAGTGACACGACTTTGGCCCACGTCACCTGGGCGCCGGCTCGGAACAGTTCCCGGGATACAGACACCAAGACAACAGAAGCTGCTGCCGTGTTTCTTTTGTACGTGGGCCGGTGCCGCTGGAACAAGCGCTGTGGCGATGATGCCGGGCTGATTATCGCCGCGGATGCCGATGGGTTACCTGCGGCACCAGCGACGGACGCGGCTGTAACGGCCGCAGAGTCAGTGGCCACGGTTCCGGCCGCATACAGTTTAGGGTCGAGACGCTCCAACTGGAGCCCTACCCGGAGCACAGCAGGAAACACATCGCGGCGCACACCATCAATGTGGTCGGCCCCGGCGCCGGCCGCAGACGCCATCGCCTGTAGTGGTGGTATGAAGTAGCCACCACTTCCGCTAGAACTATTTCCGTCCACTGAAGCCGTGGGGTTAGCGGCTGCGTTGGCCGCGCGCAACGCTCCAGCGCATTTTTTCGTATACGCACCTGCCCGCTTCAGCTTCCATCGGATATACTGCACACACAGTGCCTTGCCCTGTCGCGCTATCTGTTCCGTCGGCACGGCTGTCCGCCAGCCGATGGTGTGCGACAGTTTCCTGGACACGACATCGCTGACGTTACTAAACCGTCGGCGGGCCGTGGCCACAGTGAGCGACGGCCCGCCACCGAAGTCGACACCGACCAGTTCAGATTGCAGGTTGTGCGACTGCAACACCGCCGGGAAGCTGAACTTGCGCCTGGGCAAAGCGGCCGTCGTCCTGCTGACGCCGTTGTGGTTGTTGTTGTTTGTGTTTGTGGTGTTGTTGTTGTTGTTGTTGTTATTGTTGAAGTTGGCAGCCGCGCATGTAGACATGACGAGACCACCTTCGGACATGCGCCGTGCTTCATTACACCTGTGTGTGACATGTATATATTAATATTATAATAATATGTACTGTATTAATTATGCAGTTCATTTTTTTCATTACATTATTATAATAATTATATTATGTAGGTATGTTATTTTGCTGAACGATTCTGTAAAAGTTTAATCTTCGTCAGATGYTTATTRAGTGAATTGGAATTTTAGAGAACATTTTTGTATGTCTCTATATCGTCGAGAATAGGTAGTACATTTTAGAAAACAAGTTTTGGATATTGCAAGAAGTAATAATCCAACGTCGTATTATGTAATAAAAATTAAACGCTATAATTTTAATACATATTATCATGTTATGCGGGTATACACACAATTTTTTTTAAAAATTGAAATGGATACTCTAGATTACAACTTTATTAAGCGTTATAAATTTATAATTATAATATATGAAAATAAATTTGGTGCCAGGAGCAGTCGTTACTTTCATTATTATAGCCCAATTTAAACTAAACGCTTACACTGATAACTATCCACATGCGCACGTATCAAAACTATATAATAGTTATAAACCCAACTCAATAATAAATTGGTGTCAACGTACATACGTGTAATGCCGTTAATGGTCGATCAACAATTCGATCGATATAATTTCATCGTTTAGTTATAGACGTGACACGGTTATACCACCTATACGGCTATACCAGCTATACTTATATCGTGTTAYTTTGTGCAGACACTATATAAATATAATAATACACTCGCCATTGTCGCACTAATAAAACTGAACAAACTCAATTTCAAATGTGTAGTGCTCTCGGCGACAAAATCGGTGGGTCTGAAAAATAAACATTATATTTTTTCCTTCATCTATTGTCTATAATATTCACTAATGTGTTAAAAGCTTTTAGCGGAATTCGGTTTCATGGATTTTAGGCTTATTTTGTTGAAGAGTATAAATTTTTTGAACTATATGTGAACCTACCTATGTCAAGTATGTTTAGTGCAAATATTTTTCCATTTTTTTTTTTTTTGTTATATTTAAAAGTTTAAAATGACATATTTTATTTACTTGGGTGTTTTGGTT